AAAATCGAAAAAACTTCAAATCTGAGTTCATATTTAAGTTGCGTTTTCTTGGATGAATTTTATATGTTTTTTTACATAAATATATGTTTTATTTTTAGTATGTATGAATATTTAATTTACTAATTATATAATTTATTATCATTTATATATTTTATGAAGGCCTGTAGAAAAGCCTTCATATTAGCAAAAGCAAACAATCTCAGTATAAAATGATGTCATCTATTATTTATCGCACTTGAAATGTGAAAAATGTTTCCTTATCTATATGGCACACTAAAGCAAAATATCTCAATTATAATACTAATAATAAAAAAAAATTAACTGGTACTACTTTATATTAAAAATCTAATTGTAAGTTGGATAGAAGATAATAAAAACATCTGTAACATATAAAAAATAGTGTAAATATTCAAGCCATAAATAAAATAAAAAAATCTGCTAGATATTGTTAATACAAAATACTAATAATTTATGTAACAAATGTTAGTTGTAATAAATTTAATTACGTTTCAAAATGACTTTAATTACATCAAAAAACTTTTAAAAATCATTACGCCATCAATATAAATTGCTCAAAATCGTAATAGCCATCAAAATAAGTACAAAATTGTATATTAAACAAACGTTTTGAATTCCACAAGTTTGATTGGTTGTAGATAATTATTAATCCAATCAAATTAGCTGGAACAAATCAAGGTGTACGCACAGGTGTTCAGGTGTCTTCTCACTTGCACCTTTAACAACTCTGCACACTTTTGGACACGTTCCCGCAAATCCGATTGGCGTTCTTATTTCACTTCCACCAATCATAAAAAAGACATCCATCACCGTAGTTTTATCATTCCATGTTTACCTGTTCCGAATTACTTCATAATATTTTGTTATGTCAGTAACGCGAATGCCATCGAGCGAGTAGGACGTGTTTTGTTTTCGAAAAAGTGTTTTTTGTTAAACTGAATCTGTATTTTTCTGTTAAATTTGTGCAAATTTTTCAATTTGTGGTATTGGAATTTGTTGGATCGCATTTTACTCGGTATGTAGTAATTTTAAAAATATTTTTAAGTAGTTGTACACGTGGTATTATGCAAAAATGCATACAAATGTGGTGTATTTGTATGGTATGTTTGTTATTGTTATATGAGTGTTTGAACTGGTAAGTTTAATAATTGATAAAATAATAGGATAAAATTACACACTTATATATAATACACACATAAATATATATATATATATATATATATATATGTATGTATGTATGTATATAATATTGACTATTTTGTAGAAGGGTTGAAATGCAACCCTTGCGAATTATTAATTTCTTTTGCAATCTACAAGACAATCACCCCTTAATGTCTGGAAAATATATGTACATATGTATATATATATATATATATATATATATATATACAAATATATATATATACAAGACTAAAATAAAAAACTGCATTTATATTTTGTTAAAAAAAGGAATTTGTGTTAAAGTCGATTTTCAGACTTTTTTTCAAAATATCCAATAATTTCAATTGCATATTTATTTTATCATGCCTAAAAATTTATATAAATTAAGACAATAAATATAAATTTCATTATTGATTATTTATAAAAAAATTCTTAAAGACGTTGTAAATTCAATAGTGTTAAATTAATAACATTTTTTTAGTTTTATCAATATAATTTTTCTAAAAGTTGAGATACAAAATTTTGGTCAAAGAAGCATAAATTCTATATAAAATTCCCTAAAATTTGGCATAATTATAATTTTTGTGACATGTTTGATTCAAATTTTACAATAGTTTGAAAACAGTGCATGATAATTTTTGATAAGTTTTTTGAAATTTGAAAAAACGGTTATTTCGGTTTTATAGATGTAACTTTTTTAAAAATTGAGATACAAAATTTTGATCTAAGAAATGTAAATTCTATATAAAATTTTCTGAAATTTCACATAATTATAATTTTTCTGACAGGTTTCATTCAAATTTTACAATACTTTGGAACAGTCTATAATAGTTATTTGAAATTCGAAAAAAACGAGTTTTTCAGTGTTATATATGTAACTTTTTGAAAAATCGACTTACAAAATTTTGGACAAAAGAGCCTAAATTCTATATAAAATTTTCTAAATATCTTTATATTTATAATTTTTGTGACAGGTTTCATTTAAATTTCGCAACGAATAGAAAACCGTGGTTGATAAACTATTATTTATGTATCGAAATTCGAAGAAAACCGTTTTTCAGTTGTATGAATGTAACTTTTTTAAGGATCGATTTACCAAGTTTTAGTTAGAGGGGAATAAATTCTACATAAAATTTGCTAAATATTTGCTTCATTATAATTTTGGTGAAACGTTTCGATTCAATACAATACAATACAATTTTACAATAATTTTAA